TCACGACTACTGATTTTATTCGACAACTTTATGACTTGCTTGCCTTTGACATAGACCTCAGCTAATCATATATACTAGTGGCTGGACAAGCCAAATTAGGTTTAGACTAGGAAACCTAATACAAGACCAACACGGTTACTTTCTTAACAAGCAACGAAGTAATTGTAATACTCCCCCCTCAAGCTTGAGCATGGATATCAAGCATGCCAAGCTTGAAAATAAGGTGGTTGAACTGATCGACGCTTAACCTTTCATGAGAAATCGGTCGGTTGTTCAGGGGTTGCAATCTTGCGAGGAGCGATGTTATAAGAAAGAACACGTTCCCGAACAAAATAACAAGCCATTTCCACATGCTTAGTTCGCTCGTGAAAAACTGGGTTAGTCGAAATGTGCAAAGCAGCTTGATTATCACAGTAGAGAGGTGTTGCCGCAGACAGGGAGACACCGAGCTCAGAAAGTAGCTAACGTAACCAAACTACCTCGCTGACAGTAGTAGTCATAGCTCGATATTCAGCTTCGGAGAAGGAACGAGCTACCAAAGACTGTTTCTTGGTACGCCAAGAAAGAGGAGCACCGCCGAGGCAAATGAAATAACCTGTAGTAGAACATCGGGTCGTGGGACAACCGGCCCAGTCAGCATCACAGTATACGGTCAGATCCAAAGGGGTAGATGCCGGGAAGAAAAGGTCGCGACCAGGAGACTACTTTATGTAGCGAAACACACGAACAAAGGCAGCGACATGAGCCTGGGTAGGCGCGTGAACGGCCTGACTTAAGATGTTAAGTGTTAACAGCATACTGGATGTCAGGGCGAGTAACGTATAGGAGACGTCCGACCAACTGTCGGTAACTAGAAGGGTCTGTGGCTGGAGGCGAGAAAATACGATCGAGCTGGTGACCCTGCTCGATAGGTGACTCGCCTTTACCGTCACACTAGAAAATGGTCAAGTGCAACCACCTACTAGTGCGTAGTATAGCGGGTTTGGGTTTAAATGTCAAGCCGAGTCCTAGGTGTGATGACTACTCCGCGAATTCTTATTATTTAGCAATGAAAATGTAGTGAAGGTCCAATCAAACAAACAAGCAAAGCAGTAAAAGGTTGTTTTCAAGTTGAGAGAGGTCACCCGGATATGGTTCCACCTACACTGCAGTTAAGCCAGATTGTAATTTACCAAGCTCGAATTCAAAGATAGTTATAATGCAGGAGATTCTTAATTAGTCTGCAGTCTCGACTAAAGGTCTCCAGACCCTCTCAATCTGAGTCCCCAGCGGGCGACTAACCTCCACCGGAGTAAACAGATTGAGGCCCTAACGAACCAAACCTCCTCTACCGAAGTAAATCCGGTACAGAAAAGTGAATTGACTCCTCGACTAAAGTCGTCAATTCACTAACTTCAATCAAGGGTGCTCTATCAACCTAGGCAGATATTCTCTTTCTAGGTCAAAGCAGAAACAACAGGAATTTGATCAGGATTCATGCCATTCAATAAATCAGACCTCAATTGAATATAATCAAATCAATGGATTCATACTTGGGTTCATACAATCAGACCTAACATACAAATATAGGGTTCTTCATACCCAGGTGAATGTGAAAGTTACTCCATGGAGAGAGAAGCAAACTCTAGCTCAGAAGCAGAAAACATGCTATGAAGGATGGGGTTCTGCTTCTGGTCGTCAATCGGCACTTCTCCAAGCGTTATCCGGGCTCCATTGATGATGAAGATCGATCTAAGGCGCTTGGGAACTCTGGTCCGTCGCTTTCTCTCTCTAGGTATCACTTTCTTTCTCTAAAACTCGAAACCCTTGCAAAATTAGCCTTCTTTCCCTTAAAAACCAGCTGTTCACGATCCCCGTTCATAATCCCCAGTCGGGTATTTCAGGTGCCCGGCCGGGGATTTCGTAATGTAGCTCAGCGGTATGGGGGTAATACCCGATCGAGGTCAAGAATATCCAATCGGGTATTTTTGCTCTCTGGCAGGGACCCCTTCTGCCTTCTTGGCGTCCAAAACAAGAATCCCCGGCCTGCTTAGCATTTTACCCGGCCTGGTATTTTAACTCCTGGCCGAGTATTTTGCTCTTCCAACGCCCTTCACTCCCATGTTCTCCTTTTCGACCCGAAACTCATTTCCTCGCCTTCACATCAACGCCAAGTCCTGAAATATGACATAAACACACAACCTAGCGTGAAATCGGCTTAAAACACGAGAATCAACATCTCAAACGGCTCAAGAATCGAGGTAAAAACATGTGCAATCAATGGTCTATCAATAGGAGTGGCACAAGGACGTGTACCCTCCAGACCACAGTCGCAAGGATGTCTAAGCCATATTATACGATGATTCAGAACGACACCTTTCTGAAAACGCGCCACCTCATTACCCAAGAAATATTTGAGGGGCCCTAGATCCTTGATGGTGAACCGGGCATGAAGGAAGTCTTTAACCTGCTGAATAAACTTCGCATCATTGCCAGCAAGAATGACGTCGTCGACATAAATGAGTGCTGCCACGAAACTGGAGCCTGATTTGTGAATGAACAGAGAGTGATCAGCGCGGCTCTGGACAAACTGAAAACTGAGCAACGCCTGAGAGAACTTCTGGTACCAGTTCCTGGATGCTTGACGAAGACCATATAAAGACTGACGAAGTCGACACACTCGACTATCACCAGGACGAGAAAATCCTTGAGGAATCCTCATGTAAACTTCCTCATGTAAATCACCATGCAGGAAAGCGTTGTTGACGTCGAGCTGATAGAGGTGTCAGCCTTGACTGGCCACGACAGCAATAAGACAGCGAACCGTGACTAGTTTGGCGACTGGTGCAAATGTGTCATGGTAATCGATCCCTTCGATTTGAGTGAAATCCTTTGCCACCAAACGAGCTTTATAACGATCGACTGAGCCATCGGGCTTGAACTTAACCTTATAAACCCACTTGCAATCAACGATCTGCTTACCAGGTGGGGCATGGGCGAGGAACCAGGTACCATTAGCTTCGAGAGCGTCGATTTCGGCTTGCATAGCCTTGCGCCAATGCTCAAAGCGAACTGCCTGCCAAAAATACGTGGGCTCATACGTAGCCGACATGGTAGCCACAAACGCGCGATGCTCCGGAGACAAGCGTTGGTAAGTGACGTAGTTGCTCATGGGATAGACAACTGCATGATGTGCACGAGCAGGCTGACCAGGAAGCTGCACTTCGTAGTCTTGGAGTCGAACAGGACGTTGCACAACGCGTGTGCTGTGACGAGTAGCGAGTTCGGGAGGAGGTGGTGACACCGGCGATGACTATGAAGAGGGAGACGTGACACCACTATCTGCACCAGGACTGTAGGAACTAGACTCGGATGAGGGCTGGGAGGACCAATCGATGACAGGAGGAGTCGAAGCGGGGCTGGGCGTCGCATCGCTCGATGGAACAGAAGAGACTGGGCTCTGCGGGTTAGGTGTGCATGGGCTGCCAGGAGGATCGGCAGCAGGCGGTGAAGAAAATGGATTGACTGTATCATTGTCCTCATCGTGAGAAGCAGAGACTTCCTAAACCATGTCGAAGAGACCTAAACTCTCTATACCAAACATGCTAAAGATGGTTATCACGATTAGTCGATTACCACTTTGTGATACTGTACATAATTTTATTATTATATCATACATTATGTATCACTTACGTAATAATATTATTTAACAATTACTTAAATTATAAATACATTACATAAAACTTAAAGAGAGATAGTTATTTCATATGTATCAATATGTAAGTCTTCCACAATATGAGTTTCAATTAAATTCCTAAATTTTAACTTAATTGTTTGTCATCCCATCAATTTGCATTACAAAAAGGTTTTTCCAGGTCAGTTAGTTGTACATAACAATTTAATAAAAAAATAATTTTCTTAACTTATTTAATTTATTATTAAATACAAATCCATTATTATTATCTATAATATTTATCATCTCTTGAATTTGCATTGTGCAAAGGTTCCATCAGTTTATTTAATTGTACATAATGTTTTAATCAAAGTGAGATTTATTTCAATCTCTTGAATTAATAAAAAACATAATTATTATTATCTATAATATTTATCATCTCTTGAATTTGCATTGTGCAAAGGTTCCATCAGTTTATGTAACTTGATGTTATTATTAGACCATGCTATGGAAGATTTATGCAACACTTTTCTATAACAATTACGCAAATTACAAACAAGTTGCATAAAACTTATGAAAAGATAGTTATTTCAAATGTATCAATTGAAAAACATATTACTTATGTCTTCCATAATAATTAAGATCTTATTTAAAGCTTATACAAATATTTCACCGGACTATTTTATGAATGATTTAATTCAACTAAATCAATAAATGAGTGAATAAAATTATGTATGTAATTAGTTTCATACCACGGTGAAGCGCGGGCAAAAGAACTAGTTTAACACTTAACAACAAGAACAATAGCTCACAAGTTCAAATAATCATAGCTAAATAGCTCATAAAGATCTTGAGATATTGAAACTATTGATATAGATGATATTGATTTTCCCGTTCGATATTGATTACCTATAACTCACTTTATTATGCCTAGGCTCCTTACTCCCTGACATGTCATTGACTCCTAGGTCGCCGTGGAACCCATAGGCGGTTTGGTGTTGCCTAGCGTCTAAGTGCGCGCCTATGCGTAACGTTAAACACATTTTCTTGAAACTAAAATCATTTCCATGGCCATCACTACAATCTGTTGAAGATAAAATCATTTGTGCTGCCAGCTTTAATCATTTCCATGGCCATCACTACAATCTGTTGAAGATAAGAAGACTAAGAGATTAGCGAGGTTGGTAAAATCTCAGCCATTTTATCATTTGCCTCTAATCTGGTCAAACTAAAAGGAGGGTTTGAAGTATTTGACCCCACGGTGAAACTAAATACAGACATACAACTGTTAACTTTTCACAGCCGACCACTTGATCATGAAAGAAGCTCTTCTTCCAAATTCAAATCGTCACCACCACCCTTTCCCTTTCCTGTCAACTTTCTGCTGGTCCTCATCATCACCACCCTTCTGCTGCAAATGCACAACCACTGCTACAGCAATCACACCAGCTGCCACAACCATGTTGCTGATCAGATTGCCAGAGTAATCCTCCATCGTCGCCGCGGTCTCACCGTAAGCCATTTCCTTTCCATAAAGCACAGGATCCCTCACACATTCATACACTTTGATCAGCACCCTCAACACCGTGAACCCGATGTAGTACGAACCGGTCAAGGCCCGTTTACTACCACCATTACTACTACCCTGCAGTTTCCACAAAGCATTCCCAATAACTTGTGGAACAAGAAACAGATCCTGAACGATCCCATCATAGTCAATGCCAAGGGCATCCATCGTCGTTGTAGGCATCACTTCTGATCTGGACCGGTGCATTGTTTTCTCCTCGGGGAAGTAGTGATCGGCTGGCTTGAAAGCTTGTGCTGCAGCAGGATTTGTGGAGACGGGGAACGTTTGTAGGAACAGAATGCCAGCTGCAAGAATGGCTAGAGTGATGAACAGAGCTCTCAAATCCCTCCTGTTTAGAGCTCTACCGTTGTCGCGTGACAATCCACGCGACAGTTTAACTTTGTTCGAGAGCTTTAGAGTGAGCAGCAAGGCAACGAAGAGAAGGATCTTGATCGAAAAGTTGGGTTCAACGTGGGTTCGTGGGTGGGGCGAAAAGACCTTCCACGGAAACATTGCTTCTGTGCTGGTCAGGAGCGGAATGCCATAGCCCATAGCTTGGATGCCAAGCGTGACGACGGATACATAAGCTGCAATGTTGGTGGTGGTTTCCATGTAGCTCACCTGTCTGAGTATAAGCACAACTGCAGATGTCAGCATCAGTACACGAAGCGTTGTCTCGAATGTGGCTCGGTACCTCATGTCATCGTGTTCATTCATATATGGAATTGGATGTGTTGTTAAACTGATTGAGGGGAAATGGAAGGGATCTGAACTGTCTCTTCTGCTGTGGATTGAGATTCTAGCCTTGGGATTCAGCATCCACCTTATGTTTGTAGAGGGATACTCCACTCTGATCTCATATTCACAATCCATCCCTTCTTCAATGCTGCTGCTGATATTTCTAATGTCTCTGCAGCCAACTAGATGCATCTCTCCAGTGAGTTTGTTGTAGATACCTTCTAAGGAGAGCGAGATGCTGTTCGAAGCCTCGAGTTTGAGAAGCCCAGAAACTTCAATCGTGTCTTCTTCTTCTTCTTCTTCTTTGTGAACCCTCTGGTGGTTCCTTTGTTGATCGTCGCCACGAACGAATGAGCCTAAAGAGAGAATCTCTAGCTCAACAGAAGCCTTCATTAGTTTCTTCTCGTGGACGGCTCCTACATTGATTGTAAGCTCCTCTGCTAGCTGAGCCAAGGTGGAGACTCCATTTCTACCCAAGGATGGGTATTTAAGGAGAGAAATCCCTAAATCAGGAAAGGAATTTCTACTACCTGTCCTTCTCTCGAAAGCCCTTGCTTGCATAATAACAAGTTCCGAGTATTTGTATGACTGTTTCATGTAGTGCCTGTAAGAAAGCTCGCTAGGACGGATTACCTTTTCAAACAGCAGAGGATGGAACTCAGTCTCACTATCTCCAGTATTGCTTGATGTAGTGATCTCTAAATCTTAAGTTATAAATTTAGGGATCACTTTGTAACTTTACCTACTCTCCACGTTGCTTGCTGTTTAGGAGAGCTAGGGTTACTTTCTTTATAATTGTAGGCGGCTGTAGCTGCCAGGAACACAAGAGATCGAGTGATAATAATATTCTCAGCCCGAGAGCCTCAAGCTCTCCGTGGAGTAGTCCCGTTCACACCGAACGGGGAAACCACGTAAATCGCGTGTCTCATCTTTCGTTCATTGCTCGCATAATAGATTTTTACATGGTATCAGAGCGGGTCTGATCCGACCTGGTCTCCTTCATGTCCGACGACGAGAACAAGACCACAGACTCGAAGTTGAAGTCGGCAGCTTCTTCCTCAATGGCGCTGCCGCCACATCTTCTCCTTCACCAATCCGACAGCCCTAGTCATCTGTACGTGGGCGAGTTGCTGAGTGACGTTAATTATGGTGAGTGGGTAGTGGATTTTACCGATTCACTCATCGCAAAGAACAAGCTGTGTTTCGTGGATGGAAGTCTCCCTGCGGCACAAACTCCGGCCGAAGTCGAGGCATTGAAGCAATGCAACGCAATGGTCAAGGGATGGCTCAAAACCTCCATGACAAAGGAAGTTCGCAGTAGTGTACGATTCGCAACCACGGCGCGAGAGATCTGGGTCGATTTGCAAACTCGATTCGGAACGGGGAGTGCGCCGCGCCTGTACGAGCTCAAGCAGACAATCATCTCGCTTCAGCAGGAGAAAACGTCCGTCTCGGCGTTTTACACCAGATTACGTGGCCTATGGGACGAAATCCAGTCCCTCACACCCTCGCTTGAATGCACTTGTTCCGGCTGCAGCTGTGATGTGAAACGCCGACAGCGAGAGGTACGTGAGGGTGAAAGGCTTTTCGATTTCCTAATGGGACTAGATGATGCTTTTTCAACAGTGAAGTCGCAAATCCTTGCCATGAAACCAATTCCGAGCCTTGGGGAGGCGTACCAGTTGGTGATGAATGATGCCCAACAGCGCCAGATTTCCAGCAACCGACGTCCCAAGCCAGAAGCTGCTGCCTTCCAGGCTCAGGGGGAGCGACGTCAGGATCGTTTGGAGCGCCCCTCTCCTCGGCAAGATCGTGACTCCGACGATCGTCCCCGTTGCTCGCACTGTCGTCGACGTGGCCATGCAAAGGAATCTTGTTATCAGCTGGTGGGTTATCCACCGCGGGGGAGTGATCGACCGGAAGGAGCTCGGCGGCCAGACCGCGCCTCGCGTGCTTCTCCTCAGGCTGCACAGGTAGACGCGGCCTCTAGTCAGCTGCCTGGTCTTTCCGCAGCACAAATTGCGGCCTTGAAGGCACTGCTGGGTTCTGATCTCTCGCAGCCAGCCTCCGCCTCCATCGATCCCACCTCAAACATGGCCGGTACGTTCCCTTCGCCTACTGTTAATGCAGCTACTTGGGTTATAGACTCCGGCTGTAATGAGCATATAGTTAATAACAATTCCTTGTTGGATGCCGAGGTGGATACTTCCCCGAATTTGCAGGTTAAGATTCCTAATGGTACAGGCGTCAAAGTTCATAGTATTGGTTCGATCAAGTTGTCGAATGATCTTTTATTACATCGGGTTCTTCATGTTCCTGCCTTCCAGTGCAATCTTCTCTCGGTTAGCCGTCTTACAGCAGACCTACCAGTAGCATTGATATTCTTGCGTGACTTCTGTGTAATTCAGGACTTACCCTCGAGGAGGCTGATTGGGATGGGTAAACATGTGGACGGCCTCTACTATCTCCAGTTGTTTGATAATGTGCACCCTATGGCAAACACAGTACGGAAGTCACTTGGCGACTCGGCAGTATGGCACTCTCGGCTTGGCCATCCATCCTTTGTGAAGATGAATTTACTGCAGAACACTCTTGGTTGCTCTTTTGTTCACAATTCAGAACCTTGTCGTTCCTGTTTGCGTGCTAAGCAGACTAGAGATGTTTTTGTTCCCAGTACTATCAAGTCTACCTCTTGTTTTGATTTGATTCACGTGGATATTTGGGGCAGTTATAAAACCGCTTCAATCTCTGGAGCACATTATTTTTTGACGATTGTTGACGATTACAGTCGAGCTGTATGGGTTTTCTTGATGAAATATAAATCAGATACTGCTCGGTATTTGCTCTATTTTTGCAATACCATTGCGACACAGTTCGGTGGTCGTGTTCGGCGTATCCAGGCTGACAATGGCCCGGAATTTGCTAGCATTTCCCTTGTTGAGTATTATGAAGAGAAGGGAATCGTTTTACAGACCTCTTGTACGGATACTCCTCAACAGAACGGGGTTGTGGAACGCAAGCACCGGCACTTACTGGATACTGCAAGGGCTCTGCGATTTCATGCAAATCTTCCTATCAAATTCTGGGGCGAATGCGTTCTTACAGCAGCGTATTTGATTAATCGAATGCCGCTGGTTTCCATTGATAACAAGACCCCATATGATCTTTTATTCAGCAAACCTCCTACCTATAGTCACCTGCGGAGCTTCGGGTGCCTTGTCTATGCGCGAGATAATCACCATGGCTTGCACAAATTCGGTGAAAGGGGTCGAGCGGGTATTTTTGTGGGCTATCCTTCCGGTCAGCGCGGATATCGTGTGTATGACCTCGAGAAGAAAAACATCTACACTTCACGGGATGTTCACTTCCTTGAGCATGTATATCCTTTTTGTGACCTGGCCGAGTCCCAACTCACTCCTGCTGCCATTTCGGCCCCAACCCCCATGGTTCCACCTTCCACAGTCGAAGATGATTTTCTACCTTCATCATCCCCCAGCTCATTGTCGCAGGAGCCTCCTCCCGAGGAGTCCATTTTATCGCCATCCTCTAATGGCGGGACTCCCTCCTCCACGGACGCTACTTCTCCAGTGCATGGGGGCTCTCCTGGAGCCTCTTCCTCTGCTGAGACCACACCACCAGCCTCTTCTTCCACCGAGACCACACCTCCAGTTCCCATTTTGGACGCACCCCCACCTCGTCGCAGTGATCGTGTCAGGCAAATTTCCACACGGCTTGCTGGCTACGACGTAGAGCTCCCTGGCACAGCACACTCCGCCACTACTTTGTATCCACTGGACGACTATCTCAGCTATCATCGTATCTCTGCAGCTCATCATGCTTTTGTTGCTGCAGTCACGGCGATTGACGAGCCCCAGTTCTTCTTCCAGGCTATTCGATACAAACAGTGGCGCGATGCTATGCAGTTAGAGATCTCGGCTTTGGAGGCTAATGGTACTTGGCCCTTGGTTTATTTACCTCCGGGCAAGAAGGCTATTGACTGTAAATGGGTGTATAAAATCAAATTTTATCCCGATGGTTCTATTGAGCGCTACAAAGCGCGCCTCGTGGCTAAAGGCTTCACCCAGGTCGAAGGGGTTGACTATCATGACACCTATGCACCAGTAGCTAAACTGGTCACTGTCCGTTGTCTCCTTGCCGTGGCGGTTACTCGCGGTTGGCATATCCATCAGCTCGACGTCAACAATGCCTTCTTGCATGGTGATCTGCAGGAAGAGGTATATATGAAAATTCCACAGGGATTCTCTCGTCCCGGGGACACCCGCGTTTGTCGTCTGAACAAGTCTCTCTATGGACTTCGTCAAGCCTCGCGCAATTGGTACCAGAAGTTTACCCAGGCTTTACTAGAGTTTCAGTTCGTTCAGAGCCGGGCTGATCATGCCTTGTTCACCTATCGGCGTGGTTCTGTTTTCGTGGTGGCCCTCATTTATGTCGACGATGTCATCATTACTGGGAATGACCTCTCTTTTATTCAGCAAGTCAAAACCTTTCTCCATGATCGGTTTACCATCAAGGATTTAGGAGTTCTTAAATATTTTTTGGGCATTGAAGTAGCACGGTCCCCTAAAGGATTAGTGCTTAATCAGAGGAAGTATGTCCTCGACATTCTTGCTGCTGCAGGACTAACCGCGGCTCGCCCCTGCTCTACCCCGATTGAGCAGCAACATCATTTGGGTCGTGACCCCTCTCCTCCTGCGGCTGATCCTGCGTCTTATCGTCGCCTTGTGGGTCGGTTGCTGTATTTGACCGTTACTCGTCCTGACATCGTCTATGCTGTCAATCTCTTGAGTCAAGCGATGCAATCTCCCACTCAAGCACACGAGGCGGCCGCTGTTCGCGTCCTCCGTTATTTGAAGGGATCTCCTGGCCGAGGTATCTATCTCTCTGCTTCAGCACCCCTTACATTGACTGGTTTTTGTGACGCTGATTGGGGCGGTTGTCCCACTACCCGTCGTTCCACGACTGGTTTTTTCATCACTCTTGGTGGTTCGCCCATTTCTTGGCGGACTAAGAAGCAGACAGTTGTCGCACGCTCATCTGCAGAGGCGGAATACCGGGCCATGGCTAGTACAGTGAGTGAGTTGCTCTGGCTTCGTTGGTTACTCTGTGATCTTGGTGTCCCGGCTTCTGCGCCCACGGTTTTGTACTGTGACAATCAGGCGGCCCTTCATATCGCCGCCAACCCAGTCTTCCATGAGCGCACTAAGCATGTTGAAATGGATTGCTACTTTGTCAGAGAACGTGTTCAGTCTGGTGAGATCGCCCCTACCAAGATTGCTACCTCTGATCAGCCTGCCGACTTGTTCACGAAGGGATTGAGTGTTGATCAGTTTCATCATCTCTTCGTCAAGCTCGGACTTCTCGATATTCACTCCTTCGCTTGAGGGGGAGTGTAGTGATCTCTAAATCTTAAGTTATAAATTTAGGGATCACTTTGTAACTTTACCTACTCTCCACGTTGCTTGCTGTTTAGGAGAGCTAGGGTTACTTTCTTTATAATTGTAGGCGGCTGTAGCTGCCAGGAACACAAGAGATCGAGTGATAATAATATTCTCAGCCCGAGAGCCTCAAGCTCTCCGTGGAGTAGTCCCGTTCACACCGAACGGGGAAACCACGTAAATCGCGTGTCTCATCTTTCGTTCATTGCTCGCATAAGCTCCTCTGCTAGCTGAGCCAAGGTGGAGACTCCATTTCTACCCAAGGATGGGTATTTAAGGAGAGAAATCCCTAAATCAGGAAAGGAATTTCTACTACCTGTCCTTCTCTCGAAAGCCCTTGCTTGCATAATAACAAGTTCCGAGTATTTGTATGACTGTTTCATGTAGTGCCTGTAAGAAAGCTCGCTAGGACGGATTACCTTTTCAAACAGCAGAGGATGGAACTCAGTCTCACTATCTCCAGTATTGCTTGAGACTGAAGCAAAGAGGAGCCTTCTCTCCTTGATGGAGAGCTCGAGAGGGATCGACAAGCATACCCTCGAGTTACACGATCTGCTAGTAGAGGAATTACGATGTTTAGTGTTGCTTCCAACACAAGCAACCATGCAAAGCTCTTGACCACTTCTCCATATCCCTTCTGCAGAAAGTGTCATGGTGGATAGTCCAGTTCTTCCTCTACTAGTACCGAATCTATCCGAAGAAGGGACAATTCTCAACACAGCAGCCACTTTAGCAGCTTTCACGTTCCCGTCATCATGTTGCTGACATTGCACATGATGGATGAGAAGCCCTAGTGGTGCATTAGTAGCCATACTGCTGCTCTCGAGAACGAATGGCCCGAGCTTGCTGCTGCTGCTTTGATTCGTGCTCGATCCTGTCGATTGTACTACCAAGTCCAGAACCTCATTGTTTAGCATGTCTTTTAGAGTGTGACAGAAACCATCTCCTTCATACAACTTGACCTTGTCCCGATTCGAGTTCGAGCTGCAAACTTCTGATAAAAGTTGTTCATCAGCAGAGAATTGATACTTAGAAGTAGTGCTGCTCAATTGAGAAGAAATGTAAACCTTATCAAAGTAATTCCCTTTATCTTTGTTCCCAAAGCTCATCATTTCACCAAAAACACCCCTGCTACTAAAGGTGAACACCTTTGGATACCTCAAAACCAGCATAATCTGATCATTCTGAACCAAAGGAGCCTGCTGATTGTTCTCTCCCTCGCAGTTACATCCTCGAGATTTGCGACGATAAGCAAGATCGGTATTCAATCCGTTCATGGAAGGGGAAGAAGGCATTGATGCGTTACCAAGAAAGCACATTACCCTTTCTCCATTCACCTCAAAGTAGACCCCTTCAAGATGAACAGAAAAGCCATCAGACCCCATTGAAGACCTTCCAAAGCCACCATCATCAGACTGAGCCCTGTACCGGAATCCAGGACCATCCGTCAGGGACAACACCAGCCTCCCACTGACACTGACCATGTCGTTGGACCTACGGACCGAATCGACATCCGTGACCTGGAAAGAAGCCAACTTGAACAGAGAAGTGGATAGTGGATCATGATGAGCAGATAACTGTGGCAATGGGGAACCACCATCGAATTCCTGAACCCAATCTCCACTAACGAACGACAGCTCGTTCCTAATCCTGCTGCCTCTGTCGTCATCAGAAGCCAGTGGAGAAAGCAGCGGCGATGATGTTGGGAGGAGAGTGCTGCTGCTTCTTCTGCCGCCACCATCACCACACCTGTGTTGAATCTCGGTGAACCTGTTGTATGTGTATGTTGTAGTTAGGGAGGGGTTATAATGATCGGATGGAGAGTCGAATTCGTTAGACCAGGAAACGGTGAAGGTTGAGAAGCAGAGAGGCAACACTAGTGTGGTCATCAATTTCAGCCATAGATGATGAAGCTTCAGTGGTGGTGGAGTGTTCATAGCTGAAAGCTAAAAAAAGTGGGGTATTTTTGTTTTTGTTTTGTTTGTCCAAGATGGGAAGAAGTCTAGACAAGATCGTCAATGGAGGTGATGAGTTGAACATGGAAAACCCACTTTTTTTTTTTAAGTACAGGATGATGCGTTGACTATGGAGGAAGCAACCAGGAAGCAGGTTGAAGCTAGCTAGTTAGCCGGTAATCAAGGCTTTTCGTGATCTTGTGATCACGTTAATTACATTGTCCGAGGTTTGTCAGATCTCAGAAGCTAAAATTAATCTTGTAATCTGCGTTTTCTGACTTTTTTTTTAACTCGTTGTTGGTTAGAATAAAAGCACTGAGTTGGTTATGTACTTCTTGAGATCATTGACTTCATGAGGGCAGTATACATGTGACAATCTGCAGGAGCCGATTAGTACTAAGCATTGGTTGATGAACACTTGCTGATGACGATGGTGATGAATAAAATGGTGAATCATCCATGACTAAGATTGATGAATGCGTTAGTAACTTGTATATGATGCATAATTGAATCTCTTTCAACAACTCAAGTTATTGAAATTAACTGGTTCCTGACATGATATCACAGCATTCTGCGGTTGAGAGGTTTTATTCGAATCCCAATGACCTCATTTGTTCTCTTAAGCACATGGTATCCGAATCTCTGCAAACTTCAAACCTATATATAAGAGTGACTTTCATTTGTCGGGATGTGTGCATAGATTTGGCTTCTTCTGATTGGGAAACCATACTTGAAGTTATACTGAAAAAATTAAACAATGAGATCATGGATTCAAAATTTCGATCCGGCCAATCTATACGATAGAGTTTCTACAACATTGCTGGTAAGTTGTTACCCATCTATATATAATTTTTTAGTGATGCAAAAAAAAATTTCCATAGATATTCCCCCAAAGGGGAACAGCAGATACGAAGTATATAACAATATACATGGCCTTTGCATGTCAAATCACAAATTAAAAATGAAAAGACCTTTGCAGGTCTAACAAAATAGGCCTTTCCTGCCACGACATGGGCTGCCCTATGATACCTGAACGGCATGGGCAATATCATGATTTCTTCCCCTTAAAAGGATCAAAATCATGAACTAACCATGCTGAAAATTGAAGCAGAGCAGCAAACCCTTGTAAATCTGGCCTCAGTTCAGCACAAAAGCCCGTAAAGCCTCCACCGAATATACCACTAATCCTGCAAAACCAAAACAAACACAGCCACCACTGTGTGGCTAAACCTCTATCTTGCAGAGATAAACCCCTGGACAAAACTTCTGAAACACAAAGCAACAATTCTCAAAACTTCAGTGATGCATTTGCAGGTTGTATTTCTTTTGAGTTTTGTGAACTGCGCTCGGGTTTTACTTTTTCCCTTTGGTAGCATTTTAACAGTCAGCAAAATGCCAAATGAGCACTTGGGCCGAAGGCCTTTGAAGAAGAAACCCAATAATAGGTAGGGGAATTTCGACTTATAAATTTTTTGGGCCTTGTACGCCTTATAAATCCTTACTCGGTACATTTCTTTCCTTCTTGGGCTTTAGCCCCAACTATCCATATGCCTACTCTTTTAGTCTTTTTTTTTTTTTAACTCCAATCAAATATCATTCCGTGTTCAAATAGTTACCGTGGTAATAATAAAATCAATTAAGTCTAAATTTTATTAATCATGGAATAAAATGTCTTAACCAAACCGTCCAAATTAACATGAAAACCAAATTAACCAAATCAAAATTTAATTGGTTTGGTTAATCAGATTAACTAAATAACCTTACATTACATGAAAATAATTATTCTATTAATGAATAAAACATAACCATATGTTGTTACTATCATAAACTATCATTATATATAAGCAATAATAATATCCTAACCATCCATGATTATCATCATCATTCGAGTTAATACATCATTCATCATCTCTACACCTAATATTAGTTGGCTTACAACAAAACTCTTAACATAAATACATACCAATACCCCTCATCGGAAAGTTAAAGCTCTCCTACAAAATAATTAAACTATATATAGTTTGAGATGACTGTCATGGTATTAATTGTACGTAATCCTAAAGTCTAGTAGTTGTCCAAAATGTTTTGGCTTAGTAAATAGGCAGGCCCATTTAATTTTTGACCCATAATGTTTTGATTAGTTGTGCACATGGACATAAAATAGGGAATCACGAAAGTTTAGTTTAGTTGGTTGCATGGAAGTAAAAATAATTTTGTATATTAGGTGTATCAATAATTGGTTAATTGATTTCATTGGTTAACAATGTTGAAACCAAACCAAACCATCTAAACCAAATAAGATATATTGTTTAACCAAACCAAACCAATTATCCAAATTAACCAAACCAAATTAACCGAATGCTACCGATTAATATGGATACCAAGGTAACCAATCCGTTTGAACACCCCTAATTCCGTTAGCTCGAAAATTCACTATCAGAGTCCAAAGTGGTATTGGACTTTACGAGCATGAACTGGTTTAATCATGATTTAACTACGAAATACTCTATTGGGCTATAATTGACTCATCTAGTACAATATTTTTTTACAATTTTACAATTCTTATATACAACAGGAGATAATTCCATGATTTTGCAAAATGGGTAGTGATGGGGAAGATTTCTAATTACGTGTGGAATATTGAAGAGATGCTCTTATCTTCTCTGAGAAGAACCTTAGAAAGAAATGTACTTTCCAATTGACAAATATGATAACAACAGGTCAAACACAGCATTGCACTCCAAAAGACCATACATACATGCAATGCAAAAAAAAAAAACCATTTAATTCGTGGCTTCATAGACACTACTCCAAACTTTGCCTTTCCTTTTGCATGGAATTCCATCTTTTAGGTTAGAGGCCGACCGAAGTGATTCCAAATTCCATTCTCCACAAGGATTAAAAGGTTTGGGGTATAAGGTGACATTTTACACGGATTTTGAGTACATGGACCAAGGAAGTATTTGGGATATGTGTTTGGGGTGACCGTTAACTATCTGTGTTAGGAGTTTGCAAGACTAGATTGATGATAATATTTCGATTCGTGCATACAGATTTAAGATTGAATTTGGTAGAATTCATTTGCATATTCGTTAATGGCGGAAGCTTATTGTGTTTGCACATTGCACGTGCCTATTTTATTGCACACTTGTGCATCGGTTAAGCATAGTATCGGAGGTTTTCAGGTTTCCATCGCATATTCGCATGTAAAAAATTCTGATTCATATCAAGAATCGGTTGGACGTCTTTTACTCACTCAAATTATTAAAAAAGACGTTCAATATTAAGTCTTATATCATTCATTAACACGAGTAATAAAAGATACATATGACTCATTCCCCATGAATTGAAGTATATGTTGCCCTTGACTCTTGAGTTGCTGGAGAATCAAGACCGCAATAAAGAAGAAATCGAAAGGAACCCAAAAAGGCTGAAAGAAGAACATATACACATTTTTCTCTGTATTAAGATAAACATGCCAAAGAATCCAAATAATGCTAATACAAATCCACTACAGCTAGCAAGCAATCAAATCACCAAGAGAAACCCTAAACAAAAAGCTATTGATTCTTCAGGTATAAAGGGCAAAGAAGAAGAAGAAGAAAGAAAGAAAAGAATCCATTTCATAGTTATTAAGCGGGTGAATTACCCAAAAGGGAATTCAATTGAAGAATCAGTGTCTCATGATCATCCAATCAAAAGGAACATTGGTGACTTGAATTCATGTATTTTAAACAGCTAGAATTCCAATTTGGTGATTCTTCAGGAGAAGCCTTACACCCGTAAATGTACCCATCATGAGCAAAAACTTTTATTGATACAAGAATATTTGGCATATAATATTTGTGCAAACATAAAGGCCATTAGTTCCCCCTTTCTCATCGCCTCTTCCCATCTTTTAAATAATTGATGGAATTCATTCTGTGTGTGAGCTGAAATTCGGATTTTGAATTCTCTAGGGTAGGGGGGGAAGTCGTCTTTGAATTTAGCTAGTGTAAAGAGATGCATTGGCTAGATAATTGGATTCTGTTTGTGTTCACTTTAGTATGGTTCGAGATTTTATTTTTAGATAATTGTTGATTCCAATATTCGAACTTAGTGAGGGATAAATGTTCTCATATTCACATTATTACTACTAGAGCAACCTCTTAAGATTCAACTAACATGCTAATAAGCTTAAAAGAGTATTTCATGCTTATCTAGTGAAATCTAATTTTGATCATACAATCATTTTGTTTTTTTTTTTTTTTTTTTGCAAAAATGGAGTGCTATGGGCACCCCAACCGTTAATCATTAATCATTAATCAGACGAGAAGTTATCATACAATCATTTTGTATTATGGGGATTTCGATTTCCTCCAAAGAATAAGAACCTTCATAGACATTAAAAATAATAATAATAATCATAATCATAAAGTGCTATTACCAAGCACCTCTTGACCTCTTCTATCCCCTTAGTTTTCTCCTATGATGTAACCATTGCTTGACACCAATTTGTGTCAACATAATAAAATCTTACTCCTTCATAAAAAAAAAATATCACAAGTCTATGGGCTCACACTACAATTAGTTAAAGCACTTTCTTTGTGTGGTGCAAATGTTTGAGAACCGTACTGGAAATTATACCAGAAAATTTAGTGATAAATTATTTTATACAAAAATCATTGTTCAACTGTTTTGTACTGCTAAAATTGCCTATCGTTTGGGGTTTGGTATTGGACATTTCCGATAAGATCAACCGGTACCGTATGGTTTCTAAAATATTAGTGTGGTGTAAATAACATGGTGTTAAATATGAAAAGCATTAAGAATCTTTAACTAATAGCCAATTAGTTCCAGTTCTCTATTTTTTTAGTTGAATATTAAAAAAAATTATTAATTATCCAACTTCAAGTTGGGCCAACTTTGATTTGTCACTCCTATTTTTTGAAAGTATCTTCCTTTTGTAAATGCATGGGGTAAGGAATATATATGGGCGATGT